CAGGTCATTCCACCAGGAGGGAACATTTAATTTAAAAGTCTGTGAAAGTGATTTTGTGCTTCTTTGGGATGGCACAATAAAGTGACGTTCACTTGCAGAATGCAAGCTTCTAGAAGGCACATAAGTCTGAAGTAATGAATTTAGGTAAAGGGGTGCAGAGCCAGCGGTGGTTTTGTAGGCAAACATTAATGCCTTTAATTTTATGCGAGCATCTATTGGTAGCCAGTGCAAATTGATAAACAGAGGTGGGACGTGCATTCTTTTCGGCTCGTTAAAAATTAATCTTGCTGCCGCGTTTTGGATTAATTGTAAAGGTTTGATAGAACTGGCTGGAAGACCTGCCAAGAGAGCATTGCAATAGTCCAGCCTGGACAGAAATGTATTGTTCCTTCTTTTTTGTAATTTTATGGTATTTTTTTTTCTTTTTCCCTTTTTTTTTTATTAGTATTGTTATTGTTACTTTTATTGTTAACATTGTTGTTATTATTATTATTATTATTAGTATTGTTTTTCCCTTATGTCCCATAAAGTAATACAAAATATATCCTGTGCATGCTTTGGTCCACCGACCATTTAAACAACTTCATTCTCACAGACCCAGATTGTACTCATCAGCTCTTTTCTGAATGCCTAAGGGCAGGCGAATGGCTGTTTGCATTAGGCTGCACCTTGTCAACAGAGCTTATAAAAGCTGTTGTCCCCAAATGAGAGAGATATCAAAACCTCAATGCAAGCCTCTTTGGCGGCCATTAGACTAACTGTGTTACCCAGTCTGCGTATCCCCTGCAGCCCCTCAGCTCATCTCCACTAAGTGGATAATGTCTTTAGACTGATTATGAGAGTGAAGGATGCTATTGAGATGGGGCCCTGCAGCACTGAGTCCTTTACAGGCGAAATATTTTCACAGTGGTCCAGGTGTTTCGCTCTCAGAAAGGGGAGGGCAATAACAGGGGGCTCACTAACATGATTGGCACAAATGTGAGGAGAGACATTTCACTTACAATGGTAACTTGCTAGCTACTATATTCAGGCTGTAGTTCACCCCCAAAATTAAATTCTACTCACTCTCAGATTGCATGAAATACATCTTCTGTTATTTAGCAGAAAAGTTCAGGCTGATCTGTGAAAAAAAAAGATACTGTGATTGTCCAAAATAATAATAATAAAAATTTTTTTTATAAAAACATTTAATTAAAACAAACAAATAAATACATAATAATAAAACTTGTGCATTGCTTTATAAAAAAATTTAATTAAAACAAACAAATAAATACATAATAATAAAACTTGTGCATTGCTTTTACATTTACTCAGAATGTGACTTCCAAATGAGGACAATTATAAGCAATTTATCATTTATTGTTGGACAAGATCCAACAATAAAAACAACACTGAATTTCAGGCGTGAGCTTGGTAGAAATTAGAAAATATTATGTAATCATTTTATATAATATATTACAATATTTATATTATTATATATTCATTATATTTTTGTAATTATACTTTTTAATATACATCCATACATATACAACATACATATATCTGATTTCATTGTATACATATATGTAATCTTTACAATACAATATACTATATATTTATTAAAATGTTTATTTATATATATATATATATATACATACATACATGCATTTGTTATACAGATGGACATATGGACAAATTGAAAAATCACTTTAATAGAAAACTGTATCTGTCTAAACTGTATCTGTTGGCTTTCAGTATTATTTACCAGACAGGCTCTTTCCTCCTAGTCCCACAATTCTGTGAAATTCCCCATCAGAAATATTTGTGGACTCAGTAGACCTCTTCCTTTTCTTGGGTCATCAGTGTAGGCCCCTTGCTCGCTGTGATTGACAGGCCTGAGTAGGAAGTTGTGTTTCCACTCGCCCTCACCTCACTGGTCCCCTGATATGAGAAGCCTTCATCAGTGAGACTTTCTGTAGACCTTCTGACTTTTTCACCTCTCTAATCTCATATGCATATTTCATAT